TTTTTGACGTAGGATCACGTCTTTTGGCAACATATTGGGGGTGCAATTTCAAAAAAACCGAAATCGACCGCATTACGAAAATATGTCAGGTTTTGACCACTTATAACTCTGTCAATAGCTGATGGATTTTAATTCTAAACAAGCCAAACGATTGGAAATTTATCTACTAATCTGCTAAAATGAACACTTTACTAATTTTCAATAGGTCACTATTGAAAAATACACAAATGTCCAACTGTTGCAATGCTGATCAAAATTATCCCCGAATGCCTGCAAAAAGCGCTTTCCCTAACACAGATTTAAAAATCGAATTCGATGCGGTCTCACTGAGCGGAGCTCATTCAATCGCCGTGTGTGGTGGTGTCAGGTGGTCGGTGTCAGCAGCAGCAGCAGTGCTTTCGGCGTGTGGCATTGAACATTGTTCTCCAGTACGCAACGAAAGGCTGCCTGTAAGCAGCGAGCTGCAGAGCCCACATGAGCATCCATAGAAGGAGTAAGAAACCGCACCGCTATGGATCGAAATCAGTTTCTTCGTGAGTCGCTGTGGGTGATCTATGCCAAGCACGTCACCCTTGCTCCAAACAACATACTGCTCAACAGCCTCATCCGTGATAGCTCAGCATTACCAACCATCACGACAAAACGGTCATTTTCAGGACCACTATAAATTTGATAAAGATTATTATTCGGACATTTTTCAAGGTCATCAATCGGATGTCGGTTCCAATATGTTAAAATCTACCATACCATATATTTTTAAGGCAACATTGGCAGTGCAATTTCAAAATCCAAAGTCGGTCGAAATTCGGTAAAAGTGGTCTGATTTTGATCCAGAGATGATGGATTTTAATTCTGAATACGCACATCTATAGGATATTTTTCTACAAATCTGTTAAAGTTAAGGATTTGTCATTTTGTTGCTATGATAATTAAAATGATCACTGATTGCCTGAGAAAAGCGCTTTCTCTAACACAGATTTCAAAATTGAATTCCATCCGGTCTCGACAAACGCTGTTCATTCAATCACCGCGTGTGGTGAGCAGAGATGCCAGACCTACGGGAATCTCCGTAGATCTACGGATTTTACAAATTTATGCGGAAATACGGATCCGTAGGCTAAATCTACGGAATTTGATACAGTTTCTACGGATTTTTTCTTCAGTATACGTCTCCCTTCAGAATCGAATTTTACAATCTAGAGTATAATCTAATTCTGAAGGGAAAGAAGCATAAAGTAAAATACACCCTCGCAACTTGTCAACCGCCTTTGCTTCCGACACTTGCAAAACAAGCTTTCAAATTACAGTACCAATCTAAAATGTCATACAACAGGCTCTGTCATACGACCCTTTCCCTGAAGGCCGTCACGAATGTATGTATTTTAGTTTTTCTCATAATAAGAGCTGCTGATGTTGTGTTTGTGTGAATTCTGAAAATAGCAAGCAACGATGTCCTAGTAATAACATTTCTGATCAGAAATGGTTTAATTTACACCAAGTTGAGGAATTAGACGAAATCACATATGCCATATCCCAACTAACAGCCAATAATCGCTTAAGTCACTTCTATGCAAATATCAATCAACTTTCAACTTGTAGCTGCAAAACAAAGCTAATAAAGTGAATATATAACTAATTTGATGGCTTCTATACAAACAACCACTCTGGCTGAATAACATAAACATCAAAAGTGATTTTTCAACAGCTAAACAACCTGTACTCAGCTAATACACTGGGTTAGCGCTACTTTGGAAGCATTTTTACAGTCAACTAGGTTTATTTTTAGACGTGTGCAGTTTTACAGCTTTTACTCTGCTCCTTTACAAAGCTGTTGTCGAGAAAAGTGATTCATGTGCACTATTATAAAGCCTCTACTCAGCGATATTGTTGAAGTAAGTCATGTAGATTATTTTACGTCAGTTCAAAGTGTTGGCGTAGCGAAGTCGGTAGTGTCAAGGTTTGCTAATGCAGTCGTCTCGAGTTCGATTCCAGGTTCCGGTGCAGGGTAAATAATTTTGGAGTGCTCATAACTAATTTCACTTAATATGATTATCACAGCAAAATAAACTTAATCAATTCCTCCAACAAAAAAGTGTAAACAATATTTAAACACCGGCTTCAAGAGAAAGCTCTGTAGTGATTATTAGATAACCGGGAAAAGGTTGAATAAGCGCCATTCGAGTTCGCACACAACTAAACAGCAGGATAACAGCTGTTTAGAAGCGTAAATGGAAGAGCAATAAGAGCTTGTTCCTACCGTCCCAACAGCTATAAGTAGCTGACTAAGTTCGCCAGATTTGCTTGTATAGACGTTGTTGAGTAAAGGTTGTCTCATATCGTATAACGGTTGAATACAGCTTGAGGCTTTATACATAAAATGAGTAAAGCGTTTACATTGTGAAAATTGTTAGTTGGGATGATAGTTATATGATATTAATTTTTTTTTGCTCGAATGTTGTTCTACCGTTTGCGTTGTGTAAGAGAGACGACGCTCTCTTCCCCGTCAGCTCGATGATAATCAGGCCTTCCATAAGTCGTCGTACTTGTCCGGTTTTATAAAGAATACTACGGTTAAAACGTGGCTTTCTTATTAGATTACGACGCCACTGTACTGCCGCTACGGGATCACAATTGATCAGATCGCCATAGATGGTCTTGAAACCCCTACAGTGGATCCTCAAATTGAGCTGGAAACAATTGCCGTGGATAATGAGACAGAATTGCTGCTTGGGCAACAGGAAACGCTCCTTTGGAATGAGGAAAAATGCTTGGACATCGCTCCCGCGCAAAATCGGATTCATCTGTCGTTAATATATGACGATCACGACGAAGAGATAGCTTTTCCTGCCATATGTTTTGGCCATCTAAGGAATTTAAAGCCATATTTCATGATGGCATCCAGTAAAATTTTTCGTCAAGACAGGCGTGTGGTCAAACCACAACATTTGTTGTATATGACAGTGAAAGTTCTTCGCCTTTGAGTTTTCGAAAGCTTGCAATGAACTTTTAAGTGCACGGGGACCGCTAACATTACACGTGTCAACCCTAAGAACCGCCTTATTGATGGGGCAGTGCATTGAGCGAAATCTATCCTTCCTTAAATGAATACCGACTTCAGTAAAGTATTGGCAACAAAGGAAGAGACATTTTTTCACCATGATGCGACAATTGGGAAAGCCTACGATGTTCCTCACACTTAGTGCAAATGAGATGAAGTGGCTCCATTTGTTGAATCTCCTACATCGATTGTCAGAAGGACACAATGGCAATTACTTAACAGATCCTATCCAGGAATTGACTGCACTTCAAAGAGTAAGCACTCTGGTCAATGATGATCCAGTCACGTGCTGTGTGTACTTCAACAAGCTGGTTGACACGATTGAATTTCAGCACCGTGGAAGTCCTCACGCGCACATCTTGCTATGGCTAAACAAGGATCCCCGGGAAGCAATCAGTAAAAGTATGCCAAAAACTACAGGTGCAACAGTATCATGGTATTCATACTGTACTTTTCAGGGCATGTGTACATGTCCCAACTAAAATTCATATCAAAAGCTTCTTTTTAGAGCAATCATAGTCATACTAAAGAGTATAAACAGTCCCTCTGTTGTCCCCGCTCAAATTTCTATTCCTACGCAAAACACAAGTCCTGCTACAGTTAACAAATAACATTTATTATATAAGACCACGTAGTCCGACGTCACCATTGCGTACAACCCCAAAGGGCTGTCCATAGTAGTTTTTTAAAAAGTTAAGTTAAACGATTTACCATTCAACGTAAAATATCACCTTAGAACTAAAAAAAATTACCTTCAACTAAAAAAATCCGTAGTAATCCGTAGATTTGAATAAGTCTACGGAATTGCATATAATAAAGTCTGGCATCTCTGGTGGTGAGCGGTGGTGTTCTCCAGTACACATCGAAAGGCTCCCCGCAAGCAGCTAGCTATCAAGGCAGCCCTCAACCACTGATCGGATTCAGTGCTCGTCGTGATTCTGTGATTGATGTGTTTTCCCTAATAGATATTTCATTTCCGCAACGCTATCATCGCCAAGAACATCGAGGACAAATTTCTAAAGCATTGTTCTAAACTGGTTTCCAAGCTTCCAACCCATCAGTCCGTTTCAGGACCACAAATGACTGATAAAAGTAAGAGCTTGTATCCAAGACATACCGTCCAGGATTGACTTGTACTACATGGACATCGACAGAGCACCTCACAAACAGAACTCTCAAATTGCTTCCGAATTTCAACCTATTGAACATTTTCGCTGATAACGAGTTAAGAAATACTACTAACTCGTAGAAAACTACCTTTCGTAATCCTACGTCAAATCTACGGTCGTGTCTTGGATACAACCTCTTACTTTTTATTACGACCGTTGTTTGTAGCGAGTCACCCCACTGTGCATCGCGTCACGCAAATGGTACACATAGTGGAAGCCCATTATTGGAAACCTGTCGCTTCGTACACGTGCATTTTGACTGCGCTAGAAATACCAGGCACGATCTACTCCCGGGAAAATGCCGTTAAGGATGATTTTTCCCTTTCAGCTTAGCTACACAAACATTGGAAACTTCACAACGGAGCAAAGTTCAGAGAACAGAACACACACAGAGCCGTGCCAACGATGACGTCCTGCGATTGGATACCCACGTCCTACCTAAAACCTAGCTGATCTGGTCCGATAGCAATGATGCCAACTGTCAAGCGTGCACACGTGCTCGTACGTGATTCTACGTTCTGTTGTCCTCCTATATGGCACGGATCACTGATAGCGTCCTCTCCGTCCAGTGACCAGGGCCACACGGGGCAGATTAGTTTTGCAACTGCCGCCCACCCTCCTAATTTCACCCCTTCCCTCACATCGTTGGTTGCCATTATCCTTTGAGCGAACAAATTGCCTTCCCGGAAGTTGACTCCTCAGGAGCTAACTACCTACACACACTACATCCTATTCATATCTCATATCTGTTTTTTTTTTCTCTTATTTCGCAGATATCGTTCCGCAGCAAATCCGGCCTCAAAGAGTCCGTCATGAAGACGGATGAAAAGACCAACGTACCGAGGGTACGGATAGCGGTCCTCGGGAATATGAACGTCGGTAAATCAGGTATGTTTCATCGAAGCGCATATCGTCATCATTCGTACCGAGGCGGGGAGGAGCATAGCAAAACAAACCTTAATCCCAAAACTGTACGATTCAACACGATAGAGAGTGGGCTCACGTTGCAACGTAATTGACACGGCAACTGCCAAGTCGCATTTCACGTGCGACGTGCGGGGAACTCACGATTGCGTTGTTACAATAGTTTAGGATGAAACTTTGGGTGGCAATTCACCAGAAGTTCTTTTACATCAATCCTGAGTATTTTGAACAAAAGAGCACGTGTCCAACTTTATGCTTGTTTGAATTGCTCGGGATTAGTTTTATTGGTTTTGGATTCAACGTCCGTTTTCCATGTGAAGTACATCTACCTACGATTGCATTTTGAAACTAGCAGATATTGCCCATGTTATCGCTCTGCTATGCTAATCAAGTGCAATACAACCCCGGAAACATTTATACGAGAAAAATAAACAGAACATAACCTCACATACAAAAATAAACTCAAAACCACATAATTCAAAATTCAAATCGAAAACGATCTAGCATCCTTCAACTGGTGAACCTTTAACGAGCATCAAACCACATAGTGATCGTTTGCGTTCATCAACTCCGAACTAACTGACCCTGGTGGTTTTAGCTCATTTTCATCTCATTTCCTGACAGCTCACAATCCGGACGAAAAAAATGCTTTATGAGATATTGAGTATCCGCACGCACCATATACATCAGTTTGAGTGGTCTTTCTCTTTCCTAGCCATCCGCTTTCTGCACCAGTCTTCCTCGAAATGCTTCGGAATTTCCCTCCGGAAAATGATTTCCATTTCAGATGACCGCTGCTACTTCCTCGTTTTTGAATCACACAAACAAAAAAACCAGGCCAAAAGCAGGTCAAAGACGCATTCTACAAACAACACAGTCAACGCTGCAGCTAATCACCTTGTAGCACCAGGCGGTTCATCAATGGGGCAACGGCAGTTCTCTGGTTGATCGTCATCATCATCATCATCATCATCAACGCATGTTGACATTTCACAACACAAAACGATGGCGATGACTTAGCAATGACAGAGAGGTCTAGCCTATGTGGGGCTTTGAAATGATTGAATTTTCCAACAGACCTCACCATCCCCGGCGCACACCGGTCCCCGAGAATTGTCAATCACCAACCAACAACAGTCGACCGGAGTGTGGAACTTTTTGCTGCTCGAGCGGAATGTGTCTGATACTGTGTATGAACGGAGCAGGATGTGGATGGGTGGGGATGCACGGGTGACACAGTTTCTCGGACCGAACCGACCAGGTAGCAAACGGCATTTACGCACAAACACACAGAGTTGTGTATGGTAAACAATTTTCCTTAGCATCATTGATACGGGTAGATTGGATATCTAAATCAGGAAAAACGATTTCCTACACGGAAATGTAAATTGATTGAACCGAAACACAGGGTGCAGACAGGCTACAGCAGTGGATTCGATAGATAAATAACAGGTCGTGGCTTGCTTTTCCGACTCAAAGGGATGTTTGTTTACCAGAAGTTGACGAGCATCGATTCAGCGGGATTCACAATAACTTGTTAATGCAGTGATATTTTTAACATTGTAAACAACTTGAGGTAGACACTGCTATTCTAATGAAGGGGTCATCAACTCTGCACACCTCAATCTGTGCCGAATGTTTTAGCGGTGCCAAAATCTGTGCCTAAGCGTGCCAATCAAGTATCCCGTGAGTTTAGCATCACTGAAGTTTCAATTACTTTTGTGATAGTTTGTTTGTGATTGTGCAAGAAAAAGAAGTGTGCTGGATTGATGTAAGGAAATTCCATTCGAATAAGCAAACTGCAGGCTGGCAAACTGGGCAAAGTAAACCAAATCGGTTCCAAGATTCAGGCCGTTTATCACCAACAAAACACTGAGCGTAGCAGCTACAATGTAGCCCTGGTGGAAGCCGGTTTCGAAGCCCATCTCAGGCGGATCCATGGCATAGAGCTTTTTGACGTTTAGTTGGCGCACACTATTTCACCATTTAAATCGAACAAGCGCGAGCAAGAAGGAAACAGATTAGTGGGAAAACAAACCGTGCATTCATCCATATGTGCTAGATAGAGAAAGCCGATTAAACGTCAAAAAGGTCTATAGTTCGAGTTTCTAGTGGATTCCGGCAAGCTGGACGCGGTCCTTCGTCTATGGTGCGTTGATTATGAAGCAGTAGGACAGCGATCACAACTGCAAGGTGGCGGTGGAACCAACAATCAATATGAAACTAACGATTTTAAATTGGCTCACCACTTTAGTAGCCTATTGGTCCCAAGTAAACGATTGACCGACCCCATTCTAGTCGAAATTCTAGTACTACACAATGTTTGTTTTGATTCGCTATGAAAGTTTGACAGATAAAATTAGGGGTTAGTGGATTTTCCTATGTTTCGAGGGGTGAATCGATTAGCTTGGGACCGAAGAGAGTACCAGAGCTGAGCCAAAAAGTTGAGCACGTTTCTTCGGGACCTTCTAGTCTTAGAGTATCCTCTATGGTGGAACTGTTCAATCGGCTGCAAGCCTACCTGAAGATTAGTGGAGATTTTGCAAAAATGGTTTTCGAACTACGAGGGGCCGAATGCGGGTATTTTGTATGCGCAGGGGAAAGTTTAAAGGATTCAAGGATCGGGTTTAGTTTGTTAAAACGTAGGGGAAATGTCTCTAATGTTGGCATATGGATCTAAGATTGGGCCCAACGCTAAAAATCTGCTATTTATCAATTTTATCTAGATGAACGCGTTATTGGGACGTTACTAATGGATATTTTTGGTTGCTATTGATAATTTGTTGGAGTAGATCTTACGCTTCAGGTTGGCCCAGAAATTCTCGATGGGACGCAGCTGGGGACGTTTGGTGGGTGCCACATCGATATTCAGCCGCTCCATATCCTCCAACGATCTCTTCGAGTAGTGGGCCGACGCCAGATCCGGCCAGAACACCACGTGTTCGCCCTTATGGTATTTCTTGATGAACGACGCAACTTCGAGGCAGGCATTTCTTACTATAAATGTCCCCGTTTACGGCCAGTCCGGAGTGAAAGAAGAGCGGCTTTGACATACCCTTCTCGCTGATTGTCAGCCACAGCAGCACCATCTTGGGGAACTTGGTGTGTGAAATGAACTTCACCTCGGAGCTCACTTCCTTCGTGGGGGAAGTAAAATACGAAGTGCCCTGCCAGTCGTTGCCATCCAGGGTGAGATAGGTCTCGTCGTCCATCACCACCGCCACGTCGCGATTCGCCGGGAAAAACGAGTTGACCATCTTATTCAGCCGCTGCCGCTGCGTCATTGCCTGCAGCTCCGAAACCAGTGGACGTGACTTCCGCTTCCTGACATGTATGTTCATGTTCGCCAGGTACTTTTTCACTGTTTGGCCGGTTGCACCGACCTCCCGGCCAAGCGCACGCAGCGATGTAGCCACTTTCCCCTCGGTCTTCCTCTTCAACATCCTTTGGAGCTTCTTGTCGCTCAGGGTCGTAGGCCGTCCAGAACCGGGCTTGCTTTCGATGCTCTGATTGTTGTCTAATAGTGCCAAGATGTTGTAGATGCGTCCACAAAGTGCCGCACGATGTCCGTTTTCGACGCGGCGGGGTGCCGTTCTTTGAACGCGCACACTTCTGAACGGAGTTGCTTTACTGTTTTGCCATCACGGTTAGAGTTAGACTGATAGAGCTGTCAAATTTTGTCTGCTGACTCATGGGTTACTATGATTGATGCTGCATGGGTAGTTTCGTCAGTGCGGGTGAAGGTAAACCCATGAAAAATCGACAATTTTTGTCCATTTTTTTTTAGTGCAACCGTTAATCTTAGCTGCAGACTAGCTTATACAAGCAAAACACACCTGTATAAGCTATTTTTGCCTGCATAAGCTAATCTGCAGCTAAAATTGTTAGTAGGGCTTTCATCTGATGGATCGCTAATTCATTTCTTTTTAATATAGAAAGCTTGCATTTAGCCCAATTTAATGTTCAGTTAATCCACCTTAAAATAGGTAGAGCTGGTAAGCTAGTATTCTTCCGATCAAAGTTTCAAAATGTCTTATCGTTTAGCCACACTCTGTATTTTCACAAAAGGTGCACCTGAGTACGCACCCTACTGATTTATCGGTAAAACACGGAGTGTGGCTCAATGGTGCGAAACTTTTGAAGTTTGATCGGAAGAATGCTATCATTAATTTATCTATTGTAAGATGGACTTACTTAAAATTTGATTGGACTTAACATTAACATTCTATATTGAAAAGAGCGATCCATCCCTGCATCTGAAGGTTGAAATCTTTAGCTTTGAGCGGTAGACGATGCAATTGTGCCTTTTTGATGGTGGTTGTGTTCTAAAGTCTGGAACGCGCAAAAATTGGTCAACTTCAAATTTGTGTATTTCTGTTAAAAAAGCATAAAAGAAACCTGAAACGCTGCATTTGGAAGTTGAGTGTATATACAATGGTTGCTATGATGAGTTTTCACCGTTTGCTCTCCAGTTTTCAAAATGACGTCCAAGCAAGAGGAGCAGCGTGTCAAAATTTTACTCGCACAGCAAGAGAATCCGACGTTCTCACACGCCAAGTTGGCAAAATTGGATGTGGCCAAATCGACCGTGACAAACATTTTAAAAGTGTTTGGGGAGCGTCTGTCGACCGCCAGGAAGCCTGGAAGCGGTGGCAATCGTGATCCGGACGTGGCAGCGGCGACGAAGAAGGTGGCGGTGAAATATATAACCGGAATCCTAACCTCTCCATCCGGGACAAAGTTCGACTGTTTCGTCATGTGAAAGCGGATTTCAAGCAGCTTCCGGGGCAGGAGTTTTATACCGCATCAGGAAAAGGGAAGGTGGCTGAAACTTTCAAAACCATCAAACTATCGAAGTTCCCGAAAAAATATCTCGTCTGGCAAGCCTTATGCACGTGTGGTCTAAAAAGTGGCATTTTCATTACTACGATGCGAACAACGTGGTTGTGGTACCCAAAGACCAC